GCCATTGACAAATTGACATATAAAAGTGGTGATTGCAAAAGTAATAATAATCAAGTCATACATGAGGGTCAGCTACTCAAGTGCGCTTATTCTACCCATGATCAATGAGGTCCCGTGAAAAAGGAATAAAAGGTGGAGTTGCAAATTCACAATATATCACAAACACACAAGACTCTAGCAAAGTTATTTTGAAATTCATTCGAGCCGATCGCAAAATATGTCCAAACAAGCAAAGCAAGCAATAATTTCCACAGCTACTTTTTCTTGAATCATTCTCCACATCAAATCGTGTTCCCAAGTCCCAATCCACATCAATACCTCCGACAAGCATTCTCTTCTCTTGCCGGAACAAAAAACCATTTTCGCCGTACATATTGCATCGACAATGTACCGCATCATAAAAAGATACAAACAATTCAACCCGCTAAGACTAGCCCACTGAAATGATAATACAAATCAACAGAAAATGCACTGTTTTAATTGATAGCATTATGTATGTGGACGGACGGAGGAGGATAGAGTCCTCCTGATTGACTGCGTGACTTCATCTTCGTACGGTATTAAATACAAAAGCTACCAATAGTAGCTAAATCATGTTTTGCTTAAGCCGACTTTTGATATAATTCCTTATTCTCGATTTAGATCGTCGATCTAACTTCTGTGACACGCTCTTGTCGTAGTAGCAAACGATGGCTTATAGCTTGTACGATCAGACCAAAGTCCTAAAGTCAAACCAAGCCACAGTGTTTGATAACCCTCCAAATGTTCCTAGCTCCTTTTTGCACCGGAGTTGTTGAAGGTGACACTTTCTTCAACAACAGAAAGTGTCTGACCTAGAGACCGATGCTATGTAAATGGAGGATAGAAAACCGCAAAACGTGCTCATTCTTTGAAAATGTGCGATACCCCTTAAAATTCAAGGGGAATGGTCTTTGCCTTTAATAAAGAACATGTTTCATACATTTATATGCCCGTAGGTTCCAACTTTGAATACTCGCTCATACGTGTTGCTACATTTCGAGGCAACGCGAATGAGTACTTCGCATGTTCAATCTTTTGCTGGGTTGATTAGGCTGGCAAGTGTTAGGGATTTTTCTATATCTTGTAGATAGCATATTTTGTCGTCTCTGTGCATTGAAAATCATTTGGGCGGTTGACTCATTCCCCTTGCATTGAAATGTAGCAACACATACAGGCAAAGAAAGAGTATTCGAAGCTCGAACCTACACACAAAAACGTACGAAACACTTTGCACATTTCCTCGAATTTCAAGGGGAATCGCACATTTTTAAAAGACAAAGCGCATTTCGCGGTTTCTATCCTCCATTTGCGTGGTTATCGGTCTCTACCAAACACTTTATGCTGTTAAAGTGGGACGACCTCGACATCTTTGGTACGAAAGAGGAGCTGGGATTGGAGGGTTCACCAAACGTGGTAACTTCATACCAAAAGTCATGCTTAAAGCAAAACTATAGCTAAGCTTTCGTGTCGTGCAGTCGATCAGTTTCGGGACAACTCTATCCTCCTCCGTCCATCCTAATACTGTCAATCAGAACAAGTCCATCCGCGTGCATAATGCTATCGACCGGCGCAGAATCACAGCACCGCTAAGACATCGTATCCATAAAGTTGTGCCCGCGGACGCGCGTGCGCGTGTGCGAGACGTAGGGTCACTAATTCGATCTCCTTACAACCACTGCCGAGAGTCGAGAATCTTCGGGGACGTGTTCCCCCGTAACCGCGCAAGAGATATCGGAGAAGCCTAACCAATCCCAACCGAAACTACAAGTGAATTACATAGCTGACGAGGGGAAGGGAGGGGTACCGATTCACGCCGAGCCCTGCATGAACGAAGCTTCTTCGGCAGAAGAAAAGAGTCGCTGGCGCTTCGGGGAGCTTGGGGATGGAGATTCTGCTCTGCGAATTGGGGGGGGGGGGGGAGGGGAGGAGAGGGTTTCGCTTCGTTCCCTATCAAGTCCCCCGATCTTCTTTCGTTTTAGGGCGTCGTTTTGGAGCGGGCCCTCGTCGTCGGACTTTCTTGACCTTTTGGGCTTCTTCCATGGCCCAAGATAAGGTGACCTTTTCCTTGTCTTCCGCACCGAGAGCCGAGTATGTCCGGCCCGCCGCCCCCCCCCTCCGCCGCGGCGGTTTCGCCGGGTGCCGTGGAATTTGATCGTGGAGGCTCGAGTGCCTCGGCAGTAGGTTCCCGTGTCGCGACATGGGATTTGGCCCGGCTCCGCTCCCACACTGGCACATTTGGTGTGGTAGTGGGGACGGGCTCGTTCGAAATGAGCGATGGTACTGGTCGTGACTCAAAAATGAACATTCCGTTTGCACGTGCGGAAGAACTCTCCTGTGATGGAGTCCAAAGCGGGGCTGTCGGCGCGGACCATCCCTTCTTATCTGTTTTCCATCCATACGAATCCAAAGCACCTTTCTCGATAAAGTTGGGTGATGTCGAATTGACATGTTACACTTGGCACGCCAGACCTGCAATGGCATTATTTGACGGAACATTAACAAGGCCATATATATTTTATACAGATGTAAACGGATCATTTTCTTTGGCACATATATTTGACGGTACCATTGGACGAAACGTTAATGAGTGCCGGATTTGGGTATGAAGTAAAGGTTTTTGATTTCTTACGAGACGAAAAAAAAAATCGAGCCAAATTTAGGACCCAACTTAAAGTCGGCACTTTTTTAAGGAAATTGATCGAAAATCACATCATATATTTATAATGCTACCAAATCTGCTCAATACGTTGTTAATAATTCCATTTACATAATTATTGTTCTTTCCTCCTCATCAATTTTAATTATTGAAAACAAAAAGGGTGTTCACCATCGTTTTGACACAAATTACTAAAACAGTCGAAGGAAAAAAGGGAAAGCTTAACAGGAAATCGACAAAAAGATAAATCATTTGAAAAATGATGGTGTGAGTTATTTCGAATCTCTAATCCCTTTGAACATAGAATCAGCTAGGATATTAGATCACTATTGGTAAAACATGTATTTAAATATAGATGCGTACGAAATCGACATATTACACACGTATAAAACACACGTCGTAATTATACCCTCGAAAAAGTACTCCGAGTTTTAGCTCGTGTATGGTTTTTTAATTAGTCAATTAATAATGTAACGTGTTAATTGATATCGATCATAAGATGTCATTTTCACATAGATAAATATATTGATTTCTTTGTTGAAAAGACAAATTAGTAATAAAACTCAATCATCGATGTGACGCGTATATAAAACTTTGTAGTTATAGTGGTCCGAAGTTGATGTGCATTCTTTTCTCGTTTATAACACAATTGATTTGATAAACTCGTGATAATATGGAGTTTAAATCATATAATAGTAAAGTCAAATTGTTATCGCGTATTTTTTAATTAAAAAAATGATATATAACAGTCTCCTATGATTAGTAACAGCGGCTAGAAAACAAAACTCACCGACATAAAGTTAGAATGTTGTTTGATTATGTTTGCATAACAATTTTTTTTTGTCTTCGAAAAAAAAAACAGTTTTTATTGAAAAACATCATTTGGGCAGTTACAGATAGAATTAGTTATGTAAAAACAGTAATAAACGTAGTCAATTATCTTGAAAGCCAAAAAGAAAAATATTTTTCATAATCAAAAAAATGATTGAGTTTATATTTAATGTTAGATCAACGAGGAGAAATTTCGGTGCCAAAAGATCCCAAATCTCTTCTATTATAAAATAACCTGCATTTTATTCTTTTGCGCAACGAAGCTGATCGTGATTTCTTAAAGTGTACCCAGATATTGTTCTTCTTTTTCTAATTAAAAAAGAGGCTTACCAAACTAAAAAAAGGTGAAATTGTTTTATTGTGTACCTAGGTGTTGTTTTACAAGTGTGATTTCTAGTAAATTAGAGGGCGTTTTGGTGAAATTGAAATCGAAAACTTTCCCCATCGGGATTAACTAGAGAGGAGACGAAATTCTTTGATTAAAGTGTCGCTATCGGGCATCATTTGAATATGTTCAAGCGATGTCGGGCATATACTCAATTCCGTGCGATTGGTTCAGCATTGTCAAAGTACTTTGGTGTTCTAAAGTTCATTAGGCAGATGCAAATAGTGTCTAGAATTTTTTTTTGAGAGTTTTAGGAAAATGCAATTACGTTTCTATAGGCCTTCAGTTTAAGACAGGTTTGGAGGTATTTTGGAATATTATATTTCCTGAATGAAAAAACACAATTTATTTTTTCTTTCAACTTTCATAATTCCGGAAAATGTCTCTACCTCATGCTACCTCAACGACGAGCAGCAAACAAGGAGCTAGCAAGGCTAGATCTGGTTGTCAGCCGCCCAGCCACGCCTGAAGTCACGCAACCCCAGGCGAGGCTTAAGGTCGTCCGACCTCAAGCAGTGTCACCTGGGTTGGCGTCTCCTGGGGTCATGCGACCCCGAGGACACCGCTTGAGGTCACGCGACCTCAGGCAAGGTTTGCCGGCAGTTGGTCGGAAGCCGATTTAGCCCGCTAGCGACCGAGTTCCACCGACAAATAATTTGAGATTTTTTTTTATAGCAAAAGTCCTCTATAAAGTGTAATTTTTACCAAACGACATTTAAATCTGCTTTCCAATGCGTTTTTAAAATACATCTCACCAAACACTATAATCTCGAGGGCTTTTACCATTTTTCCAAAGACATATCCCCAAATCCGAACCGAGCCAGACGCACTCATAGATGAGGTCGTCTAGATCTTGTTTTTTTAGCACGATTGGACTTACGCGCTTCAAAATCAAAATCTCTTTTTTTTTTTAATTAGAATTGAGGTATACTGTTTCCTCTTCGATCATTGGATCCACCAATCCCCCGCTCCGATCCATTTGGAAAAATCCCCTGCTTTTCGTCCCCTTCATCATCATTATACCCTCAAACACGACACCGTTTCGTCCCCGCATAAATATCCCAGCCGACGCCACCTCACCAGTCGCCAATCCCCCTCTCACCCCAATCTCTCTCTCTCTCTATACCAAAACAGTCCTCCAATGGCGGATTCCTCCCTCCTCCTCTCTCTAACCCTCGCCTCCCTCCTCGCCTCCTTCCCTCCCCCTTCCCTCTCGAACCCTAACCCTAACCCTAACCCTACCTCCAGCTCCTCCGCCCCCACCGTCTACGAGCTCCTCCCCGAGTTCGGGCTCCCCAGCGGCCTCCTCCCCGGCTCCGTCCGGTCGTACAACCTCTCCGACGACGGCCAGTTCGCCGTCGACCTGGACAAGCCCTGCTACGTCCAGTTCGACTACCTCGTCTACTACGACCGCCGGATCACCGGGAAGCTCAGCTACGGCTCCATCACGGACCTCGAGGGGATCCAGGTGCAGCGCTTCCTGTTCTGGCTCGACGTCGACGAGATCAGGGTCGACCTCCCCCCCTCCGACTCCATCTACTTCCAGGTCGGGATCATCAACAAGAAGCTCGACGTGGATCAGTTCAAGACCGTCCGCTCGTGCCGGGACAAGGTCGCCTCCGGTTCCTGCGGCGGGCCGTGGAAGCGGGGAATCCAGGTAAATCTGGTTTGGCCGCCAGAAATTAACGCGCGTGGATAACATAAATACACCTGTTCGTCGTTTGGAATTTCGCTGAGTTTGTTGCGATCGATCTGTTGTCGTGTCGTTTGTGCTGATTTGATGGTTTCTTCGTGGGTTGTGATCGGTGTTTGCTTGGGTTCGGATGGGTATAATCGCATTTGGAAGCTACATTAATCGTGTCACTTTTGAGGACTGGTAGATGCTGTTGCTAGTTGTTTGCTTATGAAAAAGCGTTATGGGATTGCTAGCCATGGGATTCGAGAAGGGGGAACTGCAATTTGCATTTTGAATCTCTTTCTAACAGCTTTTTGAGCTCCACTGATCTTCAGAGGCACCAAGCCAGTGATGAAAGATGCAAAACCTTTTCTTTTTCGTGAAAAACTCGACGGATTTGTTGGACCAATAGTTTACTGCTCTTTAAGTTCCTCAGGAGAGCATCATATGTTGAGATACTTTAGCTTTTATTATTTTTGTCATTATCTGTTGGATATATTCGCTTTTGTTTACTTTTCCTTGTTGAAGATGCCCGAGAAAGGATGAATATCTTTTCAATTCTGGTTTGAGGGAATTTTGGAAAAACTCGTAATGGGAAGATGATAGTTCTGTGCAGTTGCTCGTACTCCCGCGGACCGTAAACATTTCTTATAGAATTGGTTGTTCCTTAGGTACAGAATTGTGGCTTGTCCGTGATCAACCTTTGATGTTTAGCTGCATGTTTGTAAGTTTGTAGCTGTGAGCATGGTATTGAGTAATTGAATTAAAGTTACTCTTCCACCTATTTGCTTAATCTATCAAATGGGTTGTTAATGGTGCAACATGAGTTCAATGTTGAGGGAGATAGGGAAAATCGCATTTCCAGTTTCCATTTATGGCTTTTACATAAGTTGGAAGTGGCATCACAGATTTTAGTATCTGTAAGGACCAATGAAGCATCTCATTCATGCAGCTGGTTTTCTTTATCAGCATTTGTACAACTGTTTTATTGACTTGATTATGTCAATGGACAGGCAATAAGTAAAAACATGAGGAAGAATTTGTCCAATGTCCTCTGTAGTGTTCTGCACTTAATTATATTCTTTTTGTCTGATTAGGTCTAAATGACCCTTTTAAATAAAGCTAAAACTCACTCAACTGGCCAAGCAAGAGGAGCCGACTTAAATAAAGATGGTCCCTTTGTTGCTTATAGATTTGACTCGAGCAAGTATCATTCCATTTCTTTTGGGAAATAAGTTGCCTGAGGGGCAACACTTGCTTTCTCTCGACTCTTTAAGTTAGTGATTGTGTGCGAGTCTTCCAGTTCCACGTGTAATATATTTTTTCAGAAGGATGGTTGAAAATAAATGCTCTGTAAAAGTTAATACTAACCTCTCAGTCTTGATGTTCTTGATATCTGTTAATTTTCCATGATTGTAAGTTGCGGCTTTAATACTGATAATACTATTACATGTGCCTCCTTTGGCAGCTTCCCACCCCGGTTGATGATGTTCAGATGCTAATCACTGAGTAGGCATCCCCAGATATTTTTGGGATGCCTATGGTGGATCACGAATTCGAGCTTACCGGCTGTGAACGGCATCATTTTCAGGCTCTGCAACCAAGAGGCTGATAGAGATAGAAAATCAACGAAGTTGAGCAGATATATGTTACTACTGTATGGATGGACTATGTAGCAAGTAAAGTGTCATGTACACGTAAAGTGTTTCCGTATCTCAATTTCGACTTCTGTACCCGGGGACGAGGTATTATGATAAGAACCTTCGTCCCGTGAGTGTTGAGACGAACAATGCAAAAACATGCTGGTGGTAAAGGTCTAGAAAGGCCTTTGGGAATGACAAGGATGATGTCTTTGTATCTGGTCAATTGTTCAATTAGATAAATGGATGGCACTTAATCGTACTTAGAAACTTAGAGAAATGCCAATTAGCGATGTTTAGTTGGCTATGTAATTGCTAGATGCCGGAAACATAGGCGAAATGTACTTACCAAATTTTGATTTCAGTCGCTTGGTGTACTTAATTTTCGAAGTTTGCAATTGATTCGCAATGATCGGAATTCGACTAGGGTTTCTTTTGGACGAAATGAGGTGCCCATATGGCCCTAGAAAATTGATAACGGGTTCACCGTGTTAACAGTTCATTGAAAAATTGACTGCATTTTGGTCAAAGGTTGCCAAAAATTGAAATTTCAATGTAATGCGAGATTGTAGTCGAAATTCCGAGATCTCTGATTGTAAATTTTATTGTATTTTTAGTTGAGCTTCTGGAAAGAGCGACAGTGAATGTATTAACATTTATGAAATATGCAAACAGATAATCAATAATTGTAGCAAGAGCTATTTTATAGACCAATAATAATGGCGAAAAAATATGGTAATCCCACTTTTTTTTAATCTTATTGTTAAAGGTATTAAGGGTATGTTTGTTTCACGGAAAATGAACGATTTGAAAAAAGAATTCCTAAAAATGATAGTTTGAATTGTTTACAAAAACGAATGAATGGAAAAAAATTTCATGATTCACGAATAAAACGATTTGGAACAAAAATTTCTAAAAATGATCGTTTGGATCACTTATAAAATAAATGGACGATAAATTTTTTTCATAGTTCACGAAAAATGTACTATGCGATTACTGTTTTGAAAATGCTTGTTATGTATTTCATTAGCAGGGAATCTGAACATGTATTGTTTGTCTATTATTTGTTATTTTACTAAGACCCCTTGTCCATAGAAAGTAAATGGTTGGAAATTGTAACTTCGCTAACTTAAATCAAACATTATGTCGTGTGGGCTCTAACGGACACAATCGCATCATCTAAGTTAGTACGTATGCATTATTCGAGATAACGTTCCAATCCTCACGTTTTCGCCAAGGCTTCGATAAATTACTAAATGAAGTAATTAAAAAAGAGGACTTGCTTGGTGTCTTGAAGGTGCTAATTGAGTACACGCAAAGATGACTTGTCTCTCTATACTCGCACATTGGCACTGGCTCGATACTTTTGCTTGCGGATCGGTGTTCTTCCCTCGTTGTAGCGGGAGGTAGTGGCCAATGCAATGCAAAGTTTCATATGCAGCTGATCGAAATTGAGCACCTATTCTGTTTGCCGTTTAATAATACAGCTGAAAACCAGATGTTAAAGAACAAAGGCACTTGACCTGGAGTTCCCTGCAAAGAATGAAGTTGATCTAGTTCCGGAAAATTTTCACAGCAACCGTCTGTTACTCTTCCCCCAGGATTCAAGAATTTGCAATTTCCAAGAATCTGAAGCACTTGCAGGTAGCATCAGCAGAGTTTACAATGAGTTAGGAATCGCGGCTGGAAGTTCACAAATCAATTGTAATTGTCATGCCAATAAGAAAGCATTTCGACACAAGACGATTAAAGTTTTGAACAGCCAATGAACCCACCTACAACTCGCTGCAGAATTACACACATGTTTATCGTCTCAAGCTATAAAGTAAATCTCGAAAATTCGATTGTTCTTCAGTGAAAGGAGAGAGCAAATGAACGGCCGAGTAAAGCAACGGACAAGCTAAATACGAGACTTTACTTCACAGCCAGTGGCGTCGGAGAGGCTGTTGATTCGGATGAGCGGAGTGTTTCCAATGGCGCCGATCAGTCCATTCTTGCTGCGTCCATGCTGCTTCTTCTTCGGCGGTTGCCTCCTTCGAGAGTGGTGACCGCAGATAAAAATCAGCCTTGGAAACCTCCACTCCACATTCAGATGAATTCATAGCCTCGATGGTACCTTCTCCAGTCTTATAGAATTTGCTGTAAACCACGATCCCTGACATGCTGCATAAAAGCCAGCATTACAAGCAGGCCAGTACTCCTCAGCCAATATATTTCCTGCACACTCAATGCTAAAGCATTCACGTTCAACCAAGAAACCACAAAGAGTAGCATGGAAGTTCTTATCAATTACCTCATTCTTCTATACCGTGCAAATCCAAATAAATGGGCTGTGCAATAGTGTTGAGCATATTATCTGTGCATAATATTTACATAAGCTGCAGTGCTGAATGCATTCAGCCGGAATCGCCCTTGTTCAATTCGTTCATCCCAGGATGCTGAAAAGAGTTTGATGCCCCCTGCACGGAGGAAAAACAAATATATTGACATTTTACTAAACAATATGCCTAGATAAGTATTGTCTCAAATAATCCCACATCAACAAAAGGCAAGTTGTACCTGGCTCGAAATGGTTCCATGAGATCTATTATTGTACCCCAACATCTATCCACGAGAAACCATTAACAATAAATATTACAATTGTAACGAAAAGATGAAACAACACTGAGATCTAAAATGATTTTCATAATAAGCACCTGACTAGTGAATGGGGGAAATCCATTCATAATCCCTGGCGACATGATGTATGGTGATTGCATCTACAAAAAATATATATGACCCCATTAGTAGGATGTAATTAAATGCTTCCATGGATCCATTATGTTGCTCCAACATATATTAACAAGAAAGAATAGTAACGGAAATCCATGTCGATAGAACAAGCTCTCCTTATGTCGATAGAAGCAATGTGGACGAAAGATAAGTTAATACACCAAGATATTAAATACCTGAGTAGGAAATGGGTAATATCCATTCATTATCCCTGGCGGCATGATATATGGTGGTCGCATCTATATAAAAAATTGATCAAATTAGTAGAATGTAAATACAAATGGAGGACTAAGAGCGTCATACCTGATTATGAAAATTTAGATTTACTGCAGGACCATGAATGTTGCTAGGATAAAAGGCGCTTCCAATTTGATTTATATTTCTCGGATAATTCTGGAAATGGGTTCCATGATGTGTTGCTTGGGTAACCAACTCTACATTGCAAAGTAATAAATATGTCAATTGGCATCATGTAGCACAAGCGAAAAATTTAACTAATCATATTAACTAAAATAATATATCACTCACCACGACTTTCTATTCGTGTTGGGGGTGTTCCTTTCTTGGAGTTTTTCTTTTTTTCCTCACTCGAGGTTTTAAGCCTTCCACAACTTGTTCCCTTTCCTTTCCTTTGAAGGGGGTGCGATACCGAAATCTCACACAAAGAAGCCTCCTCCTCCTCCTCCTCCTCCTCCACATCATCGTCATCATCGTCGTCGCCGTCGTCATCGTCATCGTCATCGTCATCGTCATCGTCATCGTCACTAGCATCATCAGTCACAACCACCCTTTTTTTGTATGACAAAATATCAGCCTTCGCTTTTTCCAAGTACTTCATCACTATTCTCATAGTATTTTCATCTTCGGCTCCCAAAATCATCACTTCAAAAGATAGTTGCATTAACGTGCAAAATCGATCATATCTAGATGGACCCGGTGACATTTGATGAGATTCAACATTCACAATCCCTTGTTTGGCACCCTTAGTCCATCTTTTCAAAATATAGGAAGATGGAATGCCCGTAACTGATACATGCGCATTCAACACTCGCAAAGCATGGCGACACAACCACCCCTTCGATTCAAATAACTTGCATTCACAAGAAACTGAAAAGTCTGCCGCGTCAAATCTGACAACATGTTCATGCTGATGCCCCTCACACTTGATAGTATATACATAAACCAATCCATCAAATGTAGTACTTGAAATATGTTCGGAGAGAGTTTGTAAAAATTCTACATTAAACCTTTCAAAAATGGCACGGGTATACAATGTAGCAGCATGCGTCAAGATGTCATTGTTCCTAACCAACAATTTGGGCTTCCCACGAGAATTGAAATCATCTCGACTTTCGATTTCTTTCATATGTTTCAGTTTTTCTTCATAGTGGTGGACAAGTTCTACAAGGGTCAATGTCTTGGTCGGCGTATGTCGAAAGACATTATTGATGCTCTCGCTCCATTGACTTGATCCTATACCACATGTAAAACTATCACGACCAAAAGCCGAACTCCATTTATGTCTAAGGTCGTATAATCTCCGAAGCCAATTGTTATTCTCCGTACCCCACTCCTCTTCCATTTTCCTCCAAGTAGATTCAAATTCATCCTCCGATCTGCATCCATACATAAGCACCGAGAAATATTTCTCCTTAAACCCCGGCTTGCGGTAAAGATGTGGAATGTGTTGATTGGCATTTTTACCGATGTGCCAAGTGCATAAACGGTGTCGTGTATTTGGAAACACAGTTTTAATGGCTCTTGCCATGGCTGGATCTTGATCGGTGAACATGGTTTTCGGAGCCTTATTCCCCATAGACCTCAAAAACGCCTCAAATAACCAAATAAATGAATCCACGGTCTCATCCGACAAAAATGCACAGCCGAACAGAGTAGTCTTCCCATGGTGATTAACCCCAGCAAAAGGTGCACATATCGTGTTATATTTGTTGGTACGATACGTGGTATCGAACACCAGCACATCACCGAAACAGTCATAATCAAATTTGGACAAACTATCTCTCCAAAAGAAATTTCTCATTCTACCACCTTGATCTATCCATACAGCGTAGGAAAACATTGGGTTTTCCATTTGCATGCAATTAAAATGATTCAGAAGACTTTGACAATCTCCCCCACTTATACCGTTGGATCTTTCTGTTTGCAAAATATTTTGACAATCATGTAGGATGAAACCCGAGTTTTTGCTTCCTCCTGCTTCATTTGCTAAGAACTTATGTGACGTAGTCCCCCCAGTGCCGGTGTAAGAAAAGACACCCTTGCAAGTATCATACATCATTTTTCCGCATCTTAGTAAATGCTTTTGATCTTCCGGTATAAATGCATGGTTATGACCGGAAACATACTCTATGACTTCATAGACACCATTGTCAACCTTAAATTTGATACGAGCAAGACAGCCACATCTAACTTCAAACCTTTCATATTTCTTTTCTTGATCAGATGAGCTACCAGAATGCCCCTCGCAGTTACATACAAAAGTCCGTCGGATTATTTCCCCTTTAGTATTTCTAACCATTTTAGCCTTCCTCACTCCAAATCCTTTGCCAATTGCATAGGCCACATACTTATGATATGCTTCAAGTTCATTTGAAAAAATCATTCCTACTGTAAACTCAAAATCTTTTTCCGTATCACGCATTACACGTGCAAGATGGGAAGTTTCATGCTGCAACCAAAAGAACGAAAAGTATTTAATGCGGTGCTTTTACAAGCAAAACAACATCTCATCCGTTACTTGAGAAAGCAAATTATGTTTCCCATAGTATGAGTGAAGAATTACCTCTGATTCAGCCATCCGGTAACTTTACACGTGCGAATCAACTGATGTGACGACTTTAAAATAGAGTAGCAGCAATAATCTTGGCAAAACCCAGGTTCAATGGAGCAAAAATCACAATGGATGGATGTTCTAGTGGCTTCCACCGGTTGTTAAAAATTGGGTATTCGAAATTGACACCCAAATTGATTCATCCCCTGCAATACGTTCTGGTTGTTCAGAATTGGCTTTGGAAAGTTTAAATACAAAACAAGTACGATACGACGTGTAACCATTCTCGAAGAACACCATCAAAATTGCTCACAGCCACGCATCTCACACAAATGCCCTCCAGCACGTGCACATCTTTATTCTGAACAATTACAAAGGATATTCACGAGAAAGAAAAAGCAAAGCATTCTAAACTTGCTGAAGATCAAATCTAGCAGAACACGAAAATAGCAAAGCATTCCTAATTATATGTATCCCATGCCATGTTTTACACATCTCTCTATTTTTGCTCTCTCCCCATGCCTCTCAACAGCTGTTCGCTGTTGTTTTAAATTTAAAAAAAAAAAATTGCGAAATCATCAAGCATCTCGAAGCAAAGCAATCAGCTGGCTAAGGGACTACACCACCAGCAAACCAAAAATCTCAATCCAGTAAACACAAACATCCATAAGCCGAACATTACCAAACGAACGTAGTCAGGTTCCTGCAAACCCACACAAAATTTCTATAAAGCATTGCTCAGCACGTGCAAACAGGCTCCGAATCTGACACTACTAAAGCCCGGTCTGTCAAATTTTCGAGCTCGTTGGAATATAATCGCGAAAGAGGAGGGGTTAAAACGCTAACCCGAGCTCGTCGTGCGCAGACGACAAATCGGAACTGTCGATGGGGCTCCGGGAGGCGGCGGCGGCGGCGGCGGCGGCGGCGTGGTCGGGAGCGGAGAGAAAGACACTACGCAGCAACGGGAGCGAAGGGGGTCGGCGAGCTCGCTGGACCCAGACCACACGGATCGAGCCACAAACGATGTCGTGAAGAAGCGACCGAGAGAGAGAGAGCTCGCTTCGCGACGGAGGGGAGGGGGGGAAAACCCTAACCCGAGGCTGGTCGGACGCAGACAGAGAGCTCAAAGCCGCCGACGGGGGGCTCCGGGAGGCGGCGGCGGAGGCGGAGGCGCACGAAGGGTTCGTGAAGACGGACGGAGAGGCGGAGCGGAGGAGGGAGGGAGGGAGGGAGCAGAGCGGAGCAGAGCGCGGCTGCCTCTTGGTCGGACGAAGAGAGAGAGAGAGAGAGAGAGCAGAGCAGAGCGAAAGGGGAAAGGAGGAGGGAGGGAAAGAGAGAGCGGAGCAGAGGGCGGGACAGGTTTTCACAGTAATCGGAGCGAAGAGGAGAGAGAGAGAGAGAGCCAAAAAATTTTCAAAAGATCTGGGACCGTCCGGCCACGTGGCGCGCAGCGAGTGGGCGGCCCCGCCGATGACGTGGAACCCCCGGTCCCACGCGACGTTCCCTCGGTCGGTCAGCGGTATCCTCTCTACCTCCCCCCGTCTTCCTTGAGGTTTCCACAAAGTCCCACAACTTCCACGGCTCCTCGGCCAGACCGTTCTTGCTTTCCCAGCTCACCCGTCAATGGCGTCCGTCTCCAAGCTCCCTCCTCCGTCTCCCCTCTGCATCGTCCTCGCCGTCGTCCTCGCCGCCTCCACCGCCCTCTCCGCCCACCTCGGAGCCCTCCGAGCCGGCGGTGGAAGCGGCGGCGGAAGCGGCGACGTGCACGACCTCCTCCCTCAGTACGGGTTCCCCAGGGGGATCCTGCCCGACAACGTCGCGTCCTACTCCCTCTCCGACGACGGCGCCTTCGAGGTCCGCCTCCGCGGCCCCTGCTACGTGCAGTTCGACCAGCTCGTCTACTACGACCGGAAGATCTCCGGGAGGCTGAGCTACGGGTCGGTGTCCGGCGTGTCCGGGATCCAGGCCAAGAAGCTCTTCGTCTGGCTCCCGGTGACGGGGATCAAGTCGGACTCGGGCTCGGGCATGATCGAGTTCTACGTCGGGGCGCTGTCGGAGAAGCTGCCGGCCGCGCAGTTCGAAGCTGTCCCCGCTTGCAAGAGCAACGCTTGCGATGGAAACCCAGAGGCAGCTTCCGTGTGAGGTAGTGGGAATTAGTGATGATGCTAGTTGTCGATCGTTTGTGATTCTTTGCCATTGCACGTTTGGATTGTGTGACGTGATTGGCAAATTGCAATGGATTCTGTGGGTTTTGGCTTTGCTTTGGTGGAGTTCTTCTGATTAGAAGGACGAATCTTCGTTTTCTTTTGAGATGTGACCAATCTGCACGCTCGTTTGCACTTGTTCTCAGAAGATTCGCTGATTTTTAGTGCACAAGATTACTCATTTCTTTCCTCGCATCCCTCGGAATTGGGTCTGTCGTCTGGTTCATATCTGCACGTGAATGTTGGACTTGCAATGATATGATCTGCGGGTCTGTTCCCATTGCAATTCGCCGCTGCCCTTTGCTCGATTTCGTTTTCCCCTTGCGCATTGTGCAAAGCCAAAGTTTCAGTAGCCTCTGTACTTTCCTTTGGGAATTTCAAAGCTTACCAATTTGAGCCAATGTGTTTCCTTCCCATCCTTCTGGTGTTTCTTCAGCTGATTATACTTCGTCAAGACACTCATGCTCAGTGAAACTGTAAAAACTAGTAAATTTGCTTACCTTGAAAACCTGCTAGACCCTGAACAGATATGCAGCAAAATTTGTCGTGAGAACATAGGCAAAGAGGAAATTTTTTGCACTCGACTACTGACTGAGAGGGAGAACTTGGTAACTGACACAAGTCGCATGTGAACCTTTGGCCTTGGTGCACTAGTTTATGATCTAGTTTGAGTCGAATTATAGAATAGCCTTACTAGTGGTCTAAGTAGATTGTCTTTGTTTTTCTATTTCGGTATGTGTATGCTGTCGGCTCATCCTGTCGAAGTGAAGCAACCGGTCAAAGCTTTTAGTGAACTTCGAATTTTGCCTGCATTTGTGCTTATAGCATTTGATATTATATACCGCTGAGGAAAAATCAAACAGTACCTACTTCTAATATAGATCAAGGCTGGTGCCGGTGGCGCTTTTCCCTATATTTGGCTGACCATTGCTGGTTCTTGCACTTCTTAGATATTGGAAACTGTTGACAGATTGCTGAATTATTTTGGAGAATTTTGGACGAACTTACATGCAAGCCTATGCCTATGCATGATTGCATTGATCGTGTCTTAGAAACCCATGGTGTCATTGTATGGCTTTCACTTCTACCTATTATTTGTTTGTTGGCAATCATTAAAACCTTCATAGATTGATAAGTAGAGTTGCTGGTCCAGTTCGAGGATGAAGTAGGGTCGGAATTTGGTAAACTGACTGTTGTTTACTGAAGTGCATTGCATGGATAATCTGGGTTGAGCACATGGTGGACGACTTGCATTCTCGTTCAGTCGTAGGACATGTCTGTCATTCGACCTTTTCTTTTAAGCCATATTACGGGTTGGACGAACTTTAACGCCTGATTACTTTCTGCATTTTCTTTTAATTACAGGTGAAAGAGAACTGGCGAGACTGGAGTAATCCACCATCAGTTCGATGCTTCGGTGTCTCGCCATATCAATACAGACACTCTTGTATATAGTTTTCAGTTGACACTGGATGAACTTTGTTATTGTTTCACGGTGGAACTACCTCCTAACCACTCGTGTGTGTAGATCTGTTCCATGAATTACCGTATCCTATAATAAATCGTGGACGCTGTAATTTCTTTTATGTCCTGCCTCTTGTCACGGGAAGATTCTTATTGTCACGGGAAGATTCTTATCATCCCGTTCTTCTTTCTTATGGAGGAGATCACCATCGTGAATGGATACAATTGGGAAACTAAATTGTTCGTCTTCATTTAATTGTCAAACTTCTAATGCTGAAGATGTTGCATCAAATGTCCGCAAGATCAATTATACCGTGAATTGAGACTCCGAAAATGAAGAAACGACAGAGGCCAGCCATGAATATGTACCTGCGACCTGTGCATAATATGGTGAAAGCTTCTGCCGCAGTGTACTCATGAGGATGGAGGTACGAGGAACGGAATAACTTCAATGGAAAGCTAGAGATAATCCGCATCGTGCAATTCATCACTGCCAAGACAAATTGAATATGTACATTCTAAATGTAAATATATGTATATTCACAAACATCACGAAAATCATACTACTGAAATAATCCAACAACAAAAGGTGCACGGCCCTGCAGCCGCATGACCTGATCTATAAGTACCTCCTCTCCCAAGATGAATATGAATAAATGACATCAAGTCTGTTGCTAAAAATGACAATGTACCTTGTCATTACAATTATACCAAATGAAAGGCAGAGTACATTTCAGAATACGGTGCCTCCAGTGAATCGATCTGTTGATTTGAGTCTTACGAATCACCAATTTTACATTTTCAACTCTGGCTCATCATTTTGTCCAGCAACCAATTGCTGCAGATTCTCTCCATAAACTGCAACTATGGTGTACTCACAGCCGGCTCAAATTCTTGAGGGAAACACAGGCATAATGATCTGAACAAAATTCTACAGAGTTTAATGAACAAGAACACTGGTTCTTAGGCTTGAAGAACCTGGCAATGCACAATATGACTCTTTAAACCGCTCCGGCCAGCAATACTTGACCATAGATTAGTGACAAGTGTCCGGAAATGACCCTTGGTGGCGATATTTTCCCAGAGCTGGGGGTTCGTCTCCACGTGCTTATCGGGACTTGAAACATCGACCAGACTGATGCTCATGTTGTTGCGTATGATGCACAGCTTCCCATTCAGGGGAACAAGAGCCGCAGCCTCCAGGGCTCGGGAGTGTCCTAGATGGAGCTTGCTATCTATAAATCTGTTCCACGAATCGGTGTCTCTATCGTAAACCCTAAGCTTGCAACCGTCACGACAATCTAAAGCATAGAGCTGTCCATTTAAAGAGATGCTAGGGTTGCGCCAACCCGCAATCATCCCATCACTAACTGCGGTCCATGAATTAGTTTCAGGGACATAGGCTTCACTCATCACTTCCTGATGAGACCCGAGTCCTTTCAAGAACCACTTTCCATCATAGACAACCCCGATAAAAGGCACCATAGCTGTGCTCATATCTGTGATAGGGCTCCACCGGTGTTTGTTGGGGTCATACACTTCAGCAGAACGGAGAGTCCTTTGTATTCCATCACACTCACCACCAGCCACATAAAGGCAGTTGTTTATAACACAAAAGCCGAAGAAGTGGCGTTTCCTGAGCATCTCCGGTTCCTTTTGCCATCTGTTTGTCCAAGCATTGTAAAAGACAACCCGTCTCATAGATCCCCTAAGCGGATCTTTTCCTCCAAATAAGTACAGGCGGTGACCACTCAGTACTGCACAGCCAAAGCCAAGAGCTTCAGAATACTCACTTGGAACAGGAGGAAGTGGCTGCCACAGCTGATAGGTAGGGTCAAAAGCATGCCATGAGATCCTTCCATCACGATCTCGTTTCATTACATATACCCATTCCTCTGCCAATCCAAGACTCTTTCTCATGGAGTAAAAATAACTGCTAGAAACAAGGTGCCGCCATCTCCTGCAAACCAGGCGGAGCTTTCTATGTTCGATGCGAGGGACTCGAATCAGACAAATAATTGCAAGATCATCAGGAAGGCCCGGTAAGAGTGGGGACTGTACTCGGGTCCTCTCCCTGCGCGAGTTCTTGGTTCTGTGTGCATTAGGGTTGATGTCAGGCTGTATGCAAAGCTTGGAGCCTGGGACAAACTTCCTTGCGCCGACAACTGTTTTTAAGCTGGAATCGACTTTGCAATAGCATGATACAGAATCAACCTGCAAAGCAGCCAACATCAGGTTTACAAGCATCAAAATGGAATGTTCATCGGCATAATTGGCAAAATCGAATATTTTAGAAAAGATGAAAATCTAGATCCTTGATTTTAAAAGGTTAAGCTTTTATTGCAACTCCATAGACAGATGCTTTGCCCAAGAAATTTCGAGAACTAAATGGAGCAGCAGGGAGCCGTAACTCGAGGCTTGCTAAAGGTCAACAACAGAATGAGCTGGGAATCTGAGAGGCCAGACATGAGACAATGAGGGCACAACACAAGAAAGGGAAGAAAACAGATGAGTCAAAAAAAAGGCAAGCTCATTAGCAAACACATTCTCCCACACCGCAATTCTCATCTGGGTATCCTCACAAATCCACAGTTATATGCACAGACAAGACGATCACCAGCACAGTTATCAAGATCATGTCGAAATCACCAAATTCCAACCACCCAAGCACAGATAATCTCATCTTTGCTCCCCAATTTCCTCTACACTAGACCGAAAGAAAACAAAAAATCCAGCGAGCACCCAGAAACACAAAAAATGCTCAAAGAAACTCCCGACATAAATCCCATGAAGACACGCTAAAAAATAGCAAGAAACCCAGGAGGAGCGAAGAGCAATTGAGGCTTCTTACCAGTGGAGGCTGGACGCGAGAGCGCCTTACAGCATTCGGGGCTTGGCGTTCAACGACTCCCTCCATTCAGATTACCACACTCATAGAACGAACCGACACCAACCGTTTCCCCGCGGCCGAGCAACACCAAGAACCCAGATCGAGAAGCGCCGGAGCTCCAATGGCCCGAATCTGATCGAAACCCAAAACAAAGAAACGGAGCAAAGAGAAAGAAAAGGAAAAAGGAAAGAAAAGGGTCGAAGCCTCGAAGGGGTAAGGGAAGGGAGGAAAAGGGAGCGATTGTTGTCTTCTGAACCCTGCGAAAATGCGAACAACAAACAAGACAGACGCGCACACCCAAAAGCAGAGCGCTCTCTCTTTTTTACCCAAGTCGTCGACTCAAGAAAAGAGAAACCACCACCCCCCTCTCGCTCTCTCTATCTCTCTCTCCGTCCCTGTGAGCATATTAGGAGTGAAAATGGTCGCTCTGTTTGGATTAAAGAAAGGGAAGAAAGTAAAGGAGGAGGAGGAGGAATACAGTATTGGTGGGTGTAATTTATTGAGATGCATGGCTTTGGTCAGTCAATAATCTATTGTTGTCTCGACAGAGTCTAATGTTAACACGCAGGGACGCGCAGAGAGAGAGAGAGTGAGAGGGTCGGGGTGAAGACAAAGGAGGAGCTTGTCGGGGCCTACTTGTCGTAACGCATCGGCGGCCTCGTAGGTCAATGCCATTCGCAAAGGGGTTCCCATTAATTGACATGGGGGATTTTCCATGGCTAATCATTTTCCCACATTATTTTCAATACAAAAATATCTTCATTCATGTACATATGTATCTAAATATGTTTCTTATGAATTGACTGAAATTCAATTTTCTGTGATCCGGAAAAATAAATGGTCCTTCAAAAAAAAATATTTTTGAAGCACCCTTGAAGGCTTTTCGGTTTTACTCCCTTTCTTGCCATCTTTAAATTGTGAGCGACACGAGAATTACAATTGTTATGATGTATACATTTATTATCAAGATTACCCTTGACTCATCTCATATTACACATTTATTATCAAGATGACCCTTGACTCATCTCATTTTACGTTCGAAAGTTCTTGTTGCCACTAATTTCATCGTGTAAGACGATTTGGACCCTTGTTCGTATTTCGAAAATTGGAAGGAATTATTGCCGGTTTCACATTAGAGCATGGCAATAGAGAGAGAATGCTTGATCATACGCGTGAGGGTCGAACTTTTTTGTGATGGAGGCCCTCAACGAAGCAAGTGAATTAGGGGGTATTTACAAATCAAGTGTCACTTGCCAAATTCAACGACGATGACGCAATCTCGATATTCCCTAACCACAATGGAAATGGAGGGGAGTGGGGCGGCAATAGAGATCCGCAATGGAGGGAGATGGAGGAGAGAAGGCAGTAGAAAGGCATGGAGAAGGCTCGCGAGGCCCGTCTTGTGGAGGGGCCGAGATTGAAGGCGACGATACGTCGAGTGAAGACAAAGGAGGAGCTTGTTGGAGCCTACTTGTCGTAGCACATTTGCGGTCTCGTAGGTCAATGCCATTTGCAAAGGGTTCCCATTAAGGCTCCGTTCGTTAGGCGGAAAATGTTACGTTTCTGGAAAATATTTTCTCGGAAGTCATTTTCCTAAAAAATGACACAATTTTTCGATGTTCGGCTGAAATCTGAAAAAGTCTTGGAAATATTTTCTGGTGTTCGGCGACTGGTGGGCGGCAACGGTGGTGGCCAGCGGCTGGCGGCGGCTGGCGATGACTGGCCGGCGGTGGCGACGGTGATCGGGCAACCGAGGTGGCGGCCGGCAGCGACCGGTTGAGGAAGAAGAAGAAGAAGAAGGAAAAAAAAAAAGAACAAGAAAATAGTGAAAATAGGAAGAAGAAGAAGAAAAAGAAAAAGAAGGCTTCTGGAAAATGAATTCCTCTTTTGAGAAAGAGAAAGTCATTTTCCTCAAAAGTGAAGGAGTTTTGTGGGTAGGAAGGAAAATGTTTTTCGTGGGAAGTTATTTTCCGCCCCCGAACATCGAAAAACCCGAAAAATATTTTCCTGGAAAATATTTTCCGCCAAACGAACACAACCTAAATGACAGGGGATTTTCCATGGCTAATCATTTTCCCACATTATTTTCGATGCAAAAATATCTTTATTCATATACATATGTATCTATATATGTGTCTAAATATGTTTCTTATGAATTGACTGAAATTCAATTTTCTGTGATCCGGAAAAATAAATGGTTCTTCAAAAAAAAAGGCGGCATGAAGACGCATA